CTTCAGGAATCAGAAAGGTAAGGAACCTGTTGGTAACTGAGACGACCCATAGACTTTACTGGAGGAAGAAATATGGCTTTGCTCAAGTTAGTCATCTGTGTAGCTACCGCGCTGTATAAAGCCTTTCTTTTCCCATTTGACCTCAGATTTCTTGGAAATCCAGAAATCACCGATCCATGGTTACTGTGTCAAAGCATAAGGGGTTATGACTTACAGAGGCAAGAGAACGTTAACAAGCATAGAGATCTTGGGTAGAGAACCTGAGCCAAATGAAGGAAGAGCCGCTAATGCTATCGAACTTAGGCTGGATTTGTGTGACAGAAGCTTTGTAGGTTACACGCTCTCAGTTTCTGCTGTCCTCTCTCCCCCAGGTGATGTGGGTTATGGGCTTAAGGAAATCTAGGTGGAAGATTTGGTGCTGGGGACTTGTATGTGGGGACAAATTTGCCTCCATATTATTTTAAGTATATATCTTCCCCTCTCTTTCCCAGGACATTCTGGACTTCAGCCAACAGGTAATGCCCTTTCATCCTCTTTTAGAGGTAGATTTGGTTTCCCTAGAATAGATGATAGAGGTGACAATACCTGAGAAAGAAATAATAGGAGATGTGTTGAATTCAAATTTCTGATCAGGCGATTTACAATAAAGCTGCTTCTCTCCGCTTAATAAAAGGCCTGTGCTCTAAAGAAGCATTGTCTCAAGGAGACGTAAGAATTTTTTTTCTTATTACTGTAATGCTATCACATAAGGTCCAAGAAAGGAAGAATTAACCTGTTTGTCGGGTTAGGTCTGGAAACAACACTCTCCCATGTCTTCTGCAGGACTCCTGAGCTGAAGTGAAGACGACACCCGAGGAGAAACCTTCTGTCCCAGCTTCTTTCCAGCATGAAAAGGTTTCCTGCTTGGCTCTTATGCTCACACAAAGAGAGTCTTTCTCAGGACCTGGTTTGCTCCTGGTTCGGTGACCCTACAAAAAATGTCCTCCCTAGTGGCCTTCCTCAGCCTCTGCCCTTGGCCTGGAAGTCCCAGTGTTGACTGCAGTACCTGATCTTCATTCTTTCCCAGTCCCCTTTGTATTCAACCCTTAACTGCCCCCTGTGCATCTGAATTCATCTTTTGTGCACATTACTTTATTAAATTTTTCTCGAATAAATATGGAGTGAAAATCATCTGCTTCGTATAGTTTCAAGTGTAAGAAGTAGAAAGAAAAGAGTAAGGGAAGATTACATCACAATACAGCAATGGTTTTCATTTATATTCCTGAATTTTGCTCAGATGTGAATCTGGAAGGTTTCTTGCCTTGTTCCTTGATTCTTCCTGGGTTTTCTGCATTCTGTAATTAGGCGTATTTAGCTGAGTTAGGAGAAAGCCTGTGCTGAACCCTGATCATGGTGGACTCCTACATCCATGCATTCTCAAAGACAAAAACTTAGATTAAGGATGAGCTTCAATACCTCAATCTTTTTCTGTCTCTCAGATAAAAATGAGTAGCATGCTTACTCTTTGGCTTGGGATGCATTCCTCCCCTTAAGTCGTATCACAAGGTCTTCAGGACAAAGCCACAACTCTAAAGGAAAATATGCATTTCTGAGGCCCTCCAGATTATGTGACAAACTTCTGTGTAACATAGGAGAATGCCTAGCAGATCTTACCTTAGCAGAAATGAAAAACAATGCTGGGAAACAAAGAGAATATATGAATGAATTGATACACATCCAAATAATTTAATACTCTGCAGCTGGAAGTAAAAATGAGAAAGACTCGGTAACCTGCTGTGGAATAATCTCCAAACTATGTTTGGAATAAGGTACAGGAAAGTTTGTGTAGTATGCAGCATTTCATTTAATATACCTATTCTATTTTATGTATCTATCTACATTTTAAATCAATAGGATTTGTAAAGAAATGTTTGTGTATATGGAAAATGAAGGAATAGGTTGTAGGGAACAGAGCTTAAAGCTGTACTTTTCTGAATATGTCTTATTTAGCAGTTTTAACTTGGGAAATATTCAAATATTTTGCACAATAAAAAAATTAAACTTTTAGAAAGGCAATGTATTGACACTGAAAACATACTATAATATTTTAGACAAACTTGATGAAAATTATGTGATAGGAAATAAATTAGAAAGTGAAAACTTTTTTGACCCTTGCCTAAAATGTGTATAACTCTAACTGTAAATCAGTATATAGTTATAAATTCTGTAGACTTAAACAGTATACGATCATAAAGGAGGTGGATGGGTTTCAGGGAAAGGCTACTAAATTGGTTAAGAAGTTGGATGATTCTACTATTGCGTTCCATTTGAAGATTCGACATCAAATGTAAGTCAAATCTAGAGTAGATAATCAATTCAGAACTTTATTTCAAAATAACAGACATTTCCGGGGCCGCCCGGCGGCGCACTCGGTAGAGTGCGGCGCGTGGGCCGGGTTATGCATGTCTCCCCAGTGATGCAATTTTTCTGTGTCTTACAAAGCAAGGAGAGTTTGAAGAAATTGTGTATTGGGGCAGGCCCGGTGGCGCACTCGGTAGAGTGCGGCGCGTGGGAGTGTGGCGGCGCTCCCGCCGAGGGTTCAGATCCCATATAGAGACTGGTCCGCTCACTGGTTGAGCGCGGTGCGGGCGTGACACCGAGGGTTGCGATCCCATTGCCGGTCACGAAAAAAGACAAAAAGGAAAAAATAATAATAATAATAACAGACATTTGAATACAATTTCTCCACTGTCAGATAACTAATTTATTTTCAAGCAAATTCAAAGTTTACTTATGCAATTTTAAATTATTTATAATTTGTGCAAAGCAGGTTATCTTATAGGAATTTAATAAGCTGATAATAATGTCCACAAAATACATAGAGGAGGGATAAGATTTATTTGATTCCAGGGTTGCAACTTTGTTCCCTGAGATGTAGAAGTGATTTGTCTCATGTTATTTGAGACCCATGGTATGAAATTATAAGGTAGAATTTAAATATATGGCATGAATATTTCAGTGAAGATGCTTTCTGATGCTTGCTGCAGAAAATTCAATCTGAATCTAATTTGCCTTATTTTTTTTAAATTTGTTATCTCACGTAAATGATAGACCCGAGCGAGGTAAGGCATCTCCAGGATTGGTGAATTTAGCAGGCCAGCAGCATCACCAATGATCCTGGAGCTTTATAGCTCCTCCCTCTGTCATACAGAGCATGTCAGCTTTCCTGAGATGGTAGCAGGACACCTGCAGAGGTTTCAGGATTCATATTCTCTCATAACAGTTTCCAAAGACAGGAAAAGAAAACTTTCTTTTTGTGTGCCT